TGGGGAATTCTGGGAGTTGAAGTCCACGCATCTTCAAGTCGCCCAGGTTGAGAAACCCTGGCTATAGTATCTGATTATATTATATTATACCTCCCCCACCTTCTCATACGCCTGTGAATCGGGGAGGGGTCTGTGTGAGCCACGTCCAAACGTTCCTCGTTCCTCGGGACTTAAAAAACGCTTCAGCCCCTTTTGCCAAGGCAACAGATCCTACATTCCTCCATCGAGGTCATCTTCCTGACTGTCTATAGGCATATCAGGCAGACTTTCGGGATCAGAAAGGAAGGAGTGAGCCCTTAAGGGGGGGACCATGTGAAAACTCCTGAGTAGGAGGAAAGTATGAGAAAGGACTTGCCTTAATTTGGCATGGTATGAGATGGGACAGAGGGAAGAGCTTTTCAAGACTGATGTCAGCGCTTGTTGGGTGGAGGAACAGAATCTGGGAGGCCTCTCCGAGCTTCTCTCTGCCCATCTTATGCTAAGCAGAATCAAGGCGGAGTATTCTGAGATTCTTTCTCCCATGTCCCCCTTTCCCAGGGCTGTGTAAACTTTTCTGCCAGTCCCCCCTTAACAGCTTGCTCCTTCCTTCCCTCTCTCCAAGGCCAGCTGTACATCCTTTGCGGGTAGAGACCTAGTGGCAAGGTTGGCACTCCAAGCTCAGCTTTGCAGAGGGCCCACCTCGCCAGCACAAAGGCCGCGTGCAGGCTCCTTCGCGAGGTTTCTGAATCCATCTGTTTTCTGCACAATATATTAAGCTGCATGAAACAAACCGAGGCTGATGCTAACGAGGCTTAATGTGTACAGATGCCACGGCTGTCCCCTTGCCTGACCTAGTTAAGCCAGTCGAGCGGATCCAACTGAAGATTAGGCTGTTTTGACTTAGTCTTGTCCAATGGATGCCATACAGTCTGGGGCTACCCAGGGGGATCCAACCAGATTTCACCATCCAGCCAAAGCCTGCCAGATCTTCTTTGAACTGGCGATCTGGGGAGGGACCCTGAGAACTTCTGCCTACAAAGCCGCTGTCCGTCAATCCATCTTCTTTTACGTTGCAGCAGCCCCTCGGTCCCACCTTCGCCCCTGGCCCAGGACGGCTTCCTCCGCCCCGGGAGGAGAAGTCAGCTACTGACCTGGTGGCCAAAATTTTGCTCCTCAACGAATTGGTGTCCCTTGAAAACGATGTCTTTGAGACCAAGAAGAAGAGGAGCTTCTCCGGGTTTGGCTCCCCACTTGACAGACTTTCGGTGGGCCTGAAAGCCAAGCAGAGGTGGGTGGCACGAAAGGTTCCCCTGCTTCGCACTTGCTGCTCCTTGAGGTTGTTACTGCTGGAAGACCCGAGCTGGTGAGTGGGGGGATTGGCTGGAAGACCACCCAGGAGCGTCAACTCTGCGCCTCCGGGCCAAGACGCTCCCTTGCAGCTTCCTGTGCCTGGCGTCCGCTCAAAAAGCGGAAGTTGCCGTGTTCGCCGTCAGGAACAAAAATTTAAAAATGTGTATTCCCATATGGAATTAGAAATTCTCCACCTGCAGAGTCTTCCAAGATCTCAACAATATCTCAGAAAGCCCTGCTGAGCCCAGATATGGTCCACATGAGTTCGTGAGGGCAGCGAGGAGGGAAAAACACTTACAGGGGTTATTAAAGACACACACACAAGACTTAAGCTGTGAAGCTGGATCAGGCAAAACACTCATCTAGTCCAGATGATGCCAAAATGCTGTTCCTGGAGCAGGATAGGACCTGAGGTTGCCCATACATTCCAGAAATCCAACTATTTCATGTATGTTAGGGGTGCAGCACAAACTTCATGCTACCACTGCTTCACATTCCTAGTGTGTTTGCTCGTTTCCTTTGAGACAGCAAGTCCAGTAAAGACACAACCAACTAGCTTATTTATAAGGGGGGGGGGAACAGTCCCAGGAAGCAAGAACATTTTCCAGCTTCCTTCCTTCGTGGCATCTTTGGTCCAACACCAAAGAAAGAGCAGCTCTTACTGCAAACACGAGGCTCCTAATGAGCCAGAATCTTACTTACGGCCACTCCAATTTTTTGCAGTAGCCTCTGCACCGCAAGTCTCACTGGCTGGGTTGACAGAAGTTGCTTAATTAGGTTAAGTTTTAAAAAATCTAGCAGTTCCACAGTCATCTAGGCTTGCTTGGTGCTCGGTTCAGCTTTTTGTGGTTTGGAGAAAATGAGAATGCTAGGACGATGGTTGCACGGAATATAGTCAGAGAGAGCAGAAACGATCCAAATTTTAAAACGTAGAGAAAAGGTAGGCTGAGCGATTGGGATGGAACTAGAAAAATTGTTCTGGAAGTGGGTCGCACCAGGACGCTCTGGGAGAGCGAATGGAATTAAAATTAAAAACGATGACATGATTTGAGAGCAAACTGAACTGAGGAAGTGCTGGTTTTTAGAGATCTGCACGAAAGTGACTGAGAAATGGCAAAGAGTGCAGTTGAAGGAAAGGTTATGGATGCTTGTCCTAGGAAATATGATGAAATGAAGGCATAAATGCCGTCAGAATGCTGGAAAACGGTGTCGTTGGTGTAAGCGGAAAATGCTAAGATGCGGATACGGTTTGCTGAGGGAGCGGCTGTGCAGTTTGCTCAATGTGGGTGCGAAGGCTGCAGCTGCGCCTGGCAATTGGAAGAACGTTGTTGTTGTGGTGTGGTACAAAGAGATGGGCGGCAAGAACGCATGTGGAAACTACGGGGGGCTGTTTGTGAAGGGGCTTGAACGACTCTGAAAGGATACAAAAGGGGGTTATAGTGAGCAAAATTTGGAAGGGTAGTGAATCTTTATGCCAGGCAGCAGCGTTTGCTCCTTACCAGGTCGCTGAGAGATAATTGAACGTGAGAAAGTTTGTTGTACGCTGTCTTTGCAGAAAGAGAGTACGCCATGATAAAACAAACAGGCCTGAATTATGGAGCGTTTTGTGCAAATAAATTTGATAGATAAATAAATAATAAATAAAATGTGAGAATAAATGAAGTGCCTAGTCGATGGTTCAACACTGACCAGAGAGTAAGAAAAGATGTGTAATATCCCTCTGTTTGTGTAATACTCAGATGGAGGAATGCATAAGGAGTGCTCCTGGTGACATTAGAGGTGTGTTGAGTGGGGACATGAATGTATGTGTGTTTTTATACAGATGATGCCACGTTGCTGACTGAAAACTCAAATTATTTGCAGCAAATGTTGGATAGTTGGTATGATGCAATGAAGGGGATTTAAACGTTAATATATCGGAGACCAAGATAATTGTCTTCAACAGGGAAGACAGAGGGAATGATTGCAAGTTATCCGTAACGGGTGAAGAAGTAGAGCAAGTAGATGAATTTATGTACTTGGTACAAGATGTACTAAAGATGGGAAAATGGATGGAGGCATTTCAAGATGCGCAAAGCTGGTAGAAAGGTTGTGGGCAGGGTGCGGAAGGCCTAAACGAGTCCCCCGAAGTCCTTTTCCTTGACGACTCTCTTTCTCGCAGGAAAGCTGTGGAGCTGCCAAAGAAGCGGTTTGGGATTCCTCTAGATCGGATTGGCGTGAATCGTTTGAGCGGCTCCAGAGGTTAGGAGACACGGGTAAGATCAAGTCACCAAAAGCTGACAGAGATCTGTGCAATGGGGTCCTTGCCTTCTTGGTCTCTTACAAGCTGCTGGGGATGGGGAAAGCGGGGCAGGACCTGATCCAGATGGAGAATCAGGTTTCCATTTTCCTTCCCCATCTTCTGCTGGTGAGAAATTCTTGGCACCTCCTTTTGGAGACCTTGATCTTCTCCTTAGAACCATCTGTTGGCCTAAAAAAAGCCTCTTGGGGAGGGCCGGGAGGATCTGGGGGCCGAGGGGATTGAACTCTGAAGGAACCCAGCTGGCTGGGTTGGCACCCTAGGCTAAAAAGGAAGTAAAACATTAACCCAGCTTTGCATACTGTAACTGGCCTGGTTAAGGATGCTGGTCCACGTCCGGTGCAGTCCATGAGCTGCTCCGGCTGGGCCGTTCGGACTGCAGGATGCTTCCCAGAAGTCCCCTCTTGCAGACAGAAGGTCTCGGGTTCAGTTCTCGCCATCTGCAGGGCGGGCTGGGAAACCTTTCCCATATTGTCCTTTTCTCCATGGGACGAAAGGGAGAAACGATGAAGCGCCTCTGGAGTACAACTGTTCTTAATTACTTTCGTTTCATTTCAATTGTGCTTATATTTAAACCACCCTCTGAAACTCCTGGGCCCCACCCACTTTTTGCAGTCTGGCTGCTTGCCACCCGACTGCCAGATGCAGCCCCCGCCCTTCCCTGCCTTCTCTGTTCTGGAATTGTATTCGCTGCCGGAAGTTGTCTGCGCAAGGAGACCTGCCTGCGATTCACTTTTCATCCCTTGCTTTCCTACAGATTTCCTGCCTAGGCTGAAGCTGCCTCCAGAACATACCCCCAGCCCAGAGAGAGAGCTTCAGTGGCCCCCCAGCCCCAGCCCATTTCTTCCTGATGACTTTGCAGTTAAGGAACCCTTTTGCTGAAAAAGTTCTGCCTCTCTGTAGCCATCCGCGTAGCAACTCTTGCTGCTTTAGTTCACTGGATCAGACTTATTTTCACCTACGCTCTGTCCTACTGATCGACAGGAACAGAAAGTGTGTGTGTGTGTGTGTGGATGTGCACGTGTGTGGATGTGTGTACTGTATAATAATTTCATTGCATGCCATTAAAATAAAATAAAAGGATGATTTCAGGAATTTGCAGACTCCTGAGCTGTTGCGACGTCCTTGTTCCTGGACCATCCACAAAGGTCTGGGCAAGGAAAAAGCCCTTCTGCACCTCCCGTCCGCCACCGAGATGGCTGCCCTTCCTTCTCAGGAGCCCACGTGCTCGGCCTTATTCAGCGCTTGGTCTGCACGTCTCCCAAAGGCTCAGCCCGTCTGGGTCAGTTCTCCTGTAACAGCCTTCGCATGGATGACGGTAGAAAATGGCCTTCCGGTTTACGGCTGGAGGCTGAGGAAGGCCGTCAGCCTTGCAAGTGACTTGCCCCATTAACTGGCCGATCCTGGGAGCCCCCGGCCCCCCCCCCCCACGGCCTGTGGGGGCTGCTTACACAATGATTTGGCCCTGCGAGGAAGCAGTGGGCCAACATCTCAGACACATCGGAGGGAATTTGGGCTTCCTGCTTTGGGTCTTTTAATGGCTTCTCAGCAGCTGCCAGCCAGGTTCCCCCGCCTGAAGCCCTCCATCTGGGCTGGGCTTCAGCTCTTTTCAAAAGCCATGCTGGCTAAGGATGATGGGAGTTGTACCCTAATACATCCACGGAGGAAGACTGGACAACTAGTCCCATTAATCTTTTCCTTGAACTTTCTTCTCCTGCTGAGTGTCCCAGTGCCTCCTTCTCCCCATCCAAAGCTGCCTTAGATGGTCTGAGTGAACACAGTGTTGTCTTCCCCAGCGGCTCTCCAGTCTTATGCAGAAGAGGGTCTCTCTCAACCTCTTCTGAAGCCGAGGCCTCTGCTACCACAACCCCACAACAGATGTCCTGCACAAAGAATAGTTCCTCCACTGCGGCCCACCTTCAGAATCACGTCTTGATTTCTTCTCCAGACTTAGCTGGGCAAATCAGTCTCTGCTGCTTTGCCTCATCTTTTAATCTGCATGCACAATTCATCCTTCCTTCCTTCCTTCCTTCCTTCCTTCCTTCCTTCCTTCCTTCCTTCCATCCATCCATCCATCCATCCATCCATCACTATATTCCTGTTATCTGCCTAGAGACACTCCTTGTTCAAGGGCTACGGAACAAATCTATAAATACCATGTTAAAATAAAATATAATAAGGGATAATTAATTATATTGTTTCTTCCATGTTTCTGTTCATTACATTATTATTTATTTTCTTCATTTACATCCTACCGTATCTGTTCTCTGGGAGCTCAAGACGGGATATACAGTGCAACTAATTTTATTTCCCCAGCAACAGTCCTATAAGGTAGGTAGGCTAAGAGAAAGCGATTGGCTGAAAGAGAGTCCATGAGATCAGGCGTTGAGTGGGGACGTGAACTCAGATCTCACTCCCCAGGGGCAACCACACGACACTACGTATAACGAAATACACCACGGTGCAAACAACACGGCTCATCCTTGCAACGCTCCTGCAGATCGGAGGAGTCCTGCGACAGAGAGGGACTTCTGAACACGGGTGACGTGCTTATAAAGGTTCTTATCTGAAGTAAATTGAGAGGGGGGAGCGGCATAAGGAGGCGCTTGTGGCAAACTTTTGTGGGTTCGGAGCGTTGGACCGAAGATGCAGCACACAAGCCACCCCTTCAGGATTCCCTCGGCTTATCAGCGAGCAAAGCACATTCCTTTTAAGGTCAGTTTCTGGGAATGCAAACCCTGGGGGAAAAACAGGTATTGGCCACTAGATAAGGCCTGCGTCTTCCCTGCACACTCCCGCCTCCCTCCAGCTGGAACTAGAGCAGCGGCCCTGAAACTGTTTGACCAGTTACGCCTTTCCTGGTCTCCAGTAATGCCAGTGCCCCCATAGAAAACCACCTCCTCCCACCTGCGCCCCATCCTCTGCCTCTCGCCTCCACCGCAATCCTACATCACACCGGCCACTCTGTGTATCTGGGGAAGTGAGCTACAGTTCATGAAAGTCAATGCCTTAGAATAAAGTGTGTTGGTGTGCAAAGGTACTGCCAGACTCCTTCTCATTCAAACTCCCTCTTGAAGATTTTCTCCAACACCCTCTGTCCCCATCGTGACCAAAAACCATGATTGATAAATTGCATGGAATTGGAAGGATAAAAATGCAGGAAAATGTCTTTTCTGGCCACTAGGGGGCAGAGAGCCCTTTGGCTAGAGAACCGGAGATTCCCACCCTTGGCGGCTTCCAGGCATGTGGACTTCAACTCCCAGAATTCTCATCAATGGCCATGCTGGCCGTGGAATCTGGGATTTGAAGTCCGGGCATCTGGAAATTGCCCAAGTTGGGAACCATGGGCTAGAATCTCACCAGCTGGTAAGTAGACGGTTGGCCTTATAATTTTAATATAATAACATAACATTTTAATATAAGAATGTAATTTGTATGAAGAATTTTGATTGTAACGGTAAAATCTGATGCAAACTAGAGAAAGAAAAGAGAATAGAAAGAGGGAGTAAGAAGCGCAAGGAAAAAGGAAGAAAGAGAGAAGGGAGACTTTTGCCCCCGCATGGAATACAGCCCTGGGCCTGAACAGCTGCGCACCGTCCTCTGCCCTGCCTCCAGGACTCTTCCGAGGTTCATCTGCTTCTGCTTACTGGCACTGTATTTGTACGTGCGTCTGCTAACAACCGGAAACAGAAGCAGAAGCATCTGGAGCCAAGCTGCTGCACATTCATTCTGTGTGGTGTATTTTCAGAGCAACCACACACAGCATGGCTTGGTTGCCCCAGAACCACAAGCTTTCTAAGGAGACACACTCACACTCACAGGCAGACTCATCTGAAGGCCCTCCTCATCCAATATGGGAAAGGCCCAGGAGCTGCGTTTGCACAAGACGCTGAACGTGCTTAGGATTAACCTTAGTGGTCTCTTCCTGGCTGAGGGTGATGTGCAACCCCAGCATGTTGGGAGAGCTCAAGAGTCAACGTGGAGCGTGAGCCCAGAAGATGGTGAAACGTGCTGGATGAAGATGGGCATCCTGCAGGGCCACCCCTTCGCTTGGATCTGCTCCCAAAGTCTGCGGTTCCCAGGATGAGGAACAGCTTGTGGTCCAACTTCTGGAAGGCCTCCGAGCCTGATCAAAATCCACCGGAAGAGAAGTTGTGCTCCCCAACCACAACAATTGTCAAAAAGACAAGAGAAGACGGGGTTTTCCCCCACCGCCTGGGTGGCATCCAGAGGACCCTTTTCTATGTGAGGCTCGTGGCACAGAATGAACCGTTCAACAACAGACCCATCTAGAAATATCCCTCTTGCTCCTTACCCGATCAGGGTACCTGAGGTGGCCTGCCAAAATCCTGATGCCCAGCAGAGGGCAGAAAGGAATCGCCTCTTCTGTGTCTCAGCGCTGACATCCCGAGGCCTTTGGATTCTCCGCAGCTCAATCAGCACCGCCCAGGTTGCCACTTCTCAAACCTTCCACAGTTGTGGACTACTAAAGCAACATTTTGCATGGAAAAGGAGGCGCCAGATGTTCAGGACGGCTTTAGAAAAGGCCGAAGAACACGAGACATTATTCCTGATGCACGCTGGATAATTGAGAAAGCCAGAGAATACCAGAAAGAAGTCAGTACGTGCTCCATGGATTATAGAAAAGCCTTTGATTGTGTCGGTCACGTCAAGCTATGGAACGTGCTCAGAAAAATGGGAACATCTCATTGTCCTCACGAGAAACCTTCACACAGGTCTGAGAGGCACGGGACGGGCAGAACGTGGTGAAACAGACTGGCTCCAGGTTGGCAAAAGAGTCAGCCCCAACTTGAAGACACATGTCAGTCAAATAAACATTTGGAAAATATGGGGGCTGCCCAATTAAACAAGCATTCCTCCCTATGTTCTTGTCTTTAAGGCGCGGGAGTTCACATCTTTGGTGGATAAGGATTATGGTTGCATTGGGATCCCCTCTATTTTTAAAAGATTATAAACCTAATTTGTACCCCCCCATTCCAAAATGAAGGATTTATTTACCGTTGAATTACTTTTGTTATAATAGAAAGAACTCTTAGCACCAACCTTCTGGTCAAGAATGTAAATCTCTCAGCACCAAAAGGCTCAGGGCAAGTCTATCTCCAGCTCCACAAAAGTCTCGTTTTTAGACATTCATCACTGAATTTCCTATTCCAACTTCTTGTTTGGGCTACTTATGCAAGATCCCAGTTCCATGTAGCTCAACACAGGCAGATTCACCGCTGATATCGGCACTTGAGGCCCACTGGCACCTGTCACTTTGAAGAGATTTGAGCCTGACAATGCTACTGCGTGATCCTTATTTTCTT